TGGTCCCGTCAGAGAAGCGCAGAGGCACGCCAGTGCTATCAGTTATGCTTGGAGGAACATAAGAGGATCTGGGGGAGGGGACACAAGCTCCAAAACAGCCCATTCCTGGGCTGGGAGGAGTGCAGCACGCTAACAGCCTGGTTCTGCCTGCCAGAAAATGGGGCACTACAGTTAGTAGACAGCGTGAAAAAACCCAGGCCGCCAAAATATGTGCTTCCAAAGATCTCTTAAAAATATCTGTGAAAGTGGCATCCTTGTTGAATTTGTCTTCCTTGAAATTAATTTGACGCTGTGGCCTAGTTCTTTTTCTTTCTGAACCTATTATGGGCCACATCTGTGGAATTCTGTATCAGCTATTTTGAAAGCAGCTGCTGCTGAGATTCTTTCAGTTAACTTGAAATTAGGAACAGGTTTGTGGGTTCCCTACCTGCTGTGAAGCCGTGATGTAGTTTATAGAATTACATATGGGTGAGAAAATCTGACTGCCAGGGCTGGAAAAGTTGGTACTATATCCAGCGTTCAGCGGGAACCCAAAATAACCACATTCACTGAAGCTGTACACACTCTGCAGCATTAACTTCTTCTGCTCTCCTCCTCAGTGTCATTGTAACAGCAGCGTTGAATAACTTGATGTAAGGAAATGTGGTTTTGAGAGGATCAAAGCACAGAAATGAGAATCAGTCTATTTCCTAGCAATTGCACTCATGATAGGAGCAAATACGAAAGACATCAGAGTCTGAGATGCTGATTCTTCAAGAAGGTTCTCCAGATTGTTTCTGCCATAAGGAAAAGTTTGTCATGTGCCGTAAATAAGATGACGGGGACAAACCTAGGTCATCTTTTATCATTAAAGTAATTCCATGAATAGCAATGGGTCAATTTGTATGATGAGTAAAAGGTAAAGAGGATGTGACCATGTCCTCACGCCCCATACCGTCTGGCATCAGAAATGCCCAAGTCTCTTCTTGTGATGACATGCTCATAGACTCTTCAGATCTAGAAATATGTGCAGCTCTTCCAATGGAAAACTGTTTTTCAGTCTGTTTGCTGAGTTAATGCGTGACTAAACCAGTGGGGAACAGGAGCTTGCCTTTATGGCGCACAGAGCCAGAGCACATCAGCATGCAAACCTTTGCTGGAGCACTGTGCATTCCCGCAGGACCAGCCTCACACCAGGGCATGGTTAAAGCAGAGAGACAGATTTCTGGAGTGTATGTGAGAAACCAATGCATTTTATCAAAGAGTATATGCATATTATTGATTGAAACCATTTTGTTTCAGAGGAAATTCGTACCACCCACATAAACACTGAAAGCACACGGGTGGTAGGAGAGCCCATTCTCACTGGAGTCAGAAATGTAACTTTCTCATTAGGAATCATCACTGGCAATAGTTCTGTGCATTGATATTCAGATGTGCATGAGCCACCCGTGCCTTCTAGTCTGTAAATTCTACACGTGCTCTTTGCATTTCCAAACATACTAAGAAAAAAACACTCCTTTGGAACATAGAAAGCTAGTGCAAAATTATTTGTTTTCAAAGCTTGTGGGGTGTTTTTATTTTGTTTTGGTTTGGTTTTGACCAAGCACACTTTGAAAGCAAAACGTCTGGTTTAGATTAGAAAATACATATATTGCTTTATTGGCGGAACCGAAGAACTCTAGATGATCTTAGTGTTCTTTTCCAACCTTCATCATTCTATGCTTCTGTGACAGCTGAGAGGTAAATGTGAAGGGAGACACCAAGGGCAGTGGTGGTCTGAGTCCTGAGAGGGAGGAACAGAATCCTCCAAAGAGCCCCAAGAGCCCCAAGCCACTCTGGATTAGCATGGTGTAGATACATGCAACTCTGAGCAAGCACACAGCAAAAGCTGAAGCTGAGGCTGGAGCTGACTCCTCCAGTTACACTTCACTGGAAGTAACTATGCATGTGACACACACACACACACACACATAAAATGTAATCTAAACTTGGCTTGTTTGCCTGCCTTGAAGTATTTATACATGCTTTCTACTTTGCTTTTAGAGACACGGCCTTTTTTCTCCTGCTCTTCTATCATAGTGTTTCCCAGGAACCTTTCTTATCTCAGCCTCCACCGCTCACTCCTCAGGCTAAGTTATGCAGACAAGTCATTGCACAGATTTTCATCAAAATGCCATTTTCCTTAACTTGAGCAAGCTGAGTCCCAAACGCTGAACAAATAATTTATTGGACTATACCAAAAGTAAATAAATGCTTTCCTGCTCCACGTATTTCATTAGCCAGAATTATTATACATAGGAGTCTATAAATAGCAAAACACGGATTGAGCCATTAATATCGCTGACATTTTCCTACAAAATACTGTAATTTAAGGAATTTCAAACAGGAGGACATCTCCTGGAAGATTTCTGGCAAAGATAAAGTGGGTAAACAGCATCTGCAAAGAGATTCGTCACCCGAGATGTAGGTGCATTAGGAGTGGGTTGGAAATTAGGAAACTACCACCTGAAATTTCAGATGACCCTGAGGATGCGATTCTTTTTGGAACATTTTGCTTATTTTTTAGGGATATTTTCTTACCTCTCTTTGAAAGGGTAGATAACAGCATCAAGAGGAAATGGTTTTCAGTTGAAGGAGGGAAGATTTAGGTTGGATGTCAGGGGGAAGTTCTTTACTGTGAGAGTGGTGAGGTGCTGGAACAGGCTGTCCCGTCCCTGGAGGTGTTCAAGGCCAGACTGGATGGGGCCCTGGGCAGCCTGGTCCAGTATTAAATATGGAGGTTGGTGGCCCTACATGTGGCAGGGGGGTTGGAGATTCATGATCCTTGAGGTCCCTTTCAACCCGTGCCATTCTTTGATTCTGTGATATGAATCCCTATCCTGTTCCAGGCTTGGAAATGTGAGAAAACCTCCTGTTTAAAATTACATGGACAGAGGAACTCCACCAACGACTTTCATGACATGAATTTACTGCTGGAGTGTTTGAAGGTTTTTGCATCTGTTGCATTTTTAATTGCCTTGCCATTAAAATGGAATATCACCACTGCTGGGCTTCACCTCACAGCCTCAGCACCTCACTTCTGTGGGAACAAGGGGCGTGACACCGGGCCTATTGGAGCAGTATGGAAAATGCAAAGCTTTGCATGGACTTCCCTGAGCAACACAGCATGAACAGTGCTGAGCGTGCTCGCAATTTACTGCCTGAGGAGGAGAATCCACACAGAGAATCTACACTGAGAAAAGGGGGAGGTCACAAAAATTGCGTTTTTATGTAGTTTGGAAGTCCCACGCACCTTTCGTTGCTTGAACTTGTCAATGTTCACCATATGGAAATTATTAACTTAATGCTGGTGTTCTAAATACTGCCCAGGAATGCTTTTTAGAATGGGATTTTTATTTTTTGTGTCAAGAAATGCTGAACTACCACACAAACTGTGACTGGGGAACTTGGGGAACCAGCCCACGTCCCACCAGAGCAAGGAGCTCCTCATTGGCACAAACCCATGTGTGTCCACAGTAACCCAGCACAGAGCATGGTGGCACTGACAAAGTGTATAGGGAAGATAAAATTGTGGAATTGCTCAGATTGGAAAAGACCTTCAAGATCATCAAGTCCAACCGCAACCTGACCATTCTACCCTAACTCTTTAACAACCCTCTGCTAAATCATGTCCCCAAGCAAATTGAGCATTGACAAGCTGCTGTGTAGAGATCAGAAGGCAGACGTTCTGGACACCATCGGGGCGTTAATGCACAGTGCATTTTTCCAAGCATGCCCTCTCTGCCCGCACGTCCCAGCATTTTTTCTCTGACTTAGAACGAAATTTGCCTGTCCCGAATCCATCCCACTCGGGCATTCATGCTGAAAGCAGCAACAATTGTCACTGACCTTTAACACGCCTGCTATTCAAATTAGTGCAGATCATTAATCACACATAGCTTACATTTTATGATTCGTGTATCCTTCATTACCAACTTTCCCCCTCACTCGCTCCCGCCCCTTTCCTTTATCCCAAGGCTGCTGGCAGCCAGCCCGACCCCCCCGCGCCCCTCCGCCCTTGCGCTGCTCCTTGGCGAGCGGTGCCCGAGCGCTCCGCGGGACGGGGCCGGGGGGTGCGGGGCCGGGGGCACCCCGAGCTCCTGCCGAGCGCTCCGTGCCCCTGCGACGTCATCGCGCGTTGCGAGACAAAGAAAGGGGGGGAAAA